ACCTTTTGTGATGTACAATTACTTAAGATTTGGTCCGATGGATAATTGGTAACTACCACTTCATTAAAATAAGTTAACAAAATCGAATCACAATAAGTAAATTCAGAAACAAGGAGAATATTTTTCATAAAATAATGAAATGTGACAGAACTACCTAACCTTTACCTAACCTTACTTTAAAAAGCAATTACTTTTGAAAAGAATTACTATGGCCAATAATGGAACAATAATATAAGAAAAACATTTGTAAAATCCAATTTATGGGTGTAAGGCTTGAGCAAATTTTGTCATAGTAAATTCAGCCATTTTACTTCAAAGTTTCACAAAAGAGCTATACGATAATTGTCAAACACAACTACTCAAATGTATTATAGAAACTGTTGAAATCAACAGTATGATTTTTATGTACACAACATTAGAAAGACTTTGAAAGCCAATCTCGACATTGCAGATGCACTTTTTAGTAAAACAACCACACCTTCCATAGTGCTGTATACTCCTTATCAATGAAAAGATTTTAAGATATCTTCATGCAGATAAAAACCTTATTTGTTACAAACTAACAGTACATGGAATCTTTAAGCAGTCTTATTTTTCCCAACTGAATTTTCTTTAAATATTAAAACTGGACAAAACCATTCCTCTATTCTGTATGGGCATAAATTAACTACACTGTCTAAAAAAATTCCTTAAAAATGCCTCTCAGATTACGTTTTGTAAATCAAGACAGTGAAAGCATGACTTTATGCCAAAAAAGTCATTTTGACATTCCAAATAAAAACTACACACATATGAAATAAAAGCCCACCACTAAGCTTCCCATTCACCAATCATATCTGGAAATTGAGAAGTTGATGTGTGCTTGGAGGAAGAAAATAAGAATCTTAGACAGTTATTCAGCTTTTTGTGTAAGCCACTATGAAAAACTATGCTAGTTTAATATAGTGCAGTAAAGTCTTCTGATAGTCTAATACCTGGTCTGAGAATCTGCTTAAGATACATAAAACAAGAGGAGTAACAAAATCCTTTCATTCTCTCCACTGCAGTTTAAATCCAAATGTATGTAAATCCCGATTCATCCTCTCACACCATGAGGCCTGAGGAAAATAAATTGCAGACTCACCATATGATTAGTTTAAAAAACGGGCATCACCTTCTGCCAAAAAAAAGAAAACTAGCACAAGATGTATGAATATTTTACCATTGCCAAATGGAGTTTAAGAAGAGGTGGCCATAAAGAAAAGTGACTTAGAGCAGTATAAATATGAGCAAGCTGAGTAAAAATAATTCTAGTGAAGCAATAGGTCTTCCACCTACAATTGAAAACAGAAGCTCACAACTTGCTACACGCAATCACAGTTCTCTCTTGCACAGACTCACTGGCAGTTTCCTCCAAATAGACTAAATGCCATGGAGAGATATTCTGTATGCATTGATACTACAATTTCATTACTTCTTGACTATTGCACAAATTGGGTTCCTTTTCTGTTGTTACAGAACAGCAGCTTGAATTTTTTTCCCTTTGCATAAAGTAGACAGAATTATTTCTGAGCGAACCACCCTCTCAGGTGCAATGTACCAAAACTTGCCGTTGTCCTCCTGAGTTCCAGGAGTGACTCCTGAGTGACTTTATCGCGGCTCTAACATTGACTTTTACAACCTAGTCCTGTTGTTAACAGCCTCCAAACTAATTGCCACTAATGGAAAAATAGGTTAACAAGGCCCTTGCCTCACAACATTAGTAATGCTGTTAGGTCTACCACTCCTAGAAACCTAGTTCATCTTATCGACTATTTCTTTTTTCTGCATGAAGTCAATGCTTGGCATGTAATTCTAGGCTAGCTTGCAATACAGGCTGTCCCAAGATGTTAGTTACTACTGCAGGAGCTACCAGGCTCTTCAGTACTGGAAATTACTTAATTATCTTGGTAAGGGACAGAAAAGCATCCAGATAAAGGATTTCCTTTTCAAGAATCTCACACACGGAAAAAAAACATAAACAAAACAACAAGCCACACAAGAAAAAAAAAAACATTCTCACCTTCCACAGCAAGCACCATTCTAAAGGAATTCTGTTTCTATATGGAAGTTGTAAATAGGAAACACAAAGAACATACCTCAGAAAGTAATTAAAGTGCATTAGTACATTGATCTTCACAATCATGTAAGGAGTGGTAAATAAATCTTCATAATCATGTGAGGAGTGGTAAATAAAAATATCACAACTTCCATAAAGGACAGCTCTTCTGGTTAGGTGCTTTGGCATAGCTGGCAGGGCAAACGGAATCACAAAAGTATATGCAGTATTGAAAAACATCTGGTGATCATCTGATCTGACAAAAAATACACTTTGCAATCAGAAGCACAAATGAATCTGAATTAGAAAAAGTAGGGATGCGGATCTTGAGAACCACCATTCAGAAACAAGATTTCTTGGTTCATCTGTTCAGTATTCTCAGATCTAGAAAACCCCTGGAATAATCAACCTCCTTCTCCCACTGGAATAAAGGAAAAAAAAAAACCACCTTAAGTACAAGCTCTGGCCTGTACTCAGAGACTGAATCTAGTGTCTCACAAAAAGAGACACTCCAAACAAAGAAAATGAATAGAGGTAGGATGGAGGTCCAAACCATCTGAACTGCGTAACTCTTCCAATTCTTTCCCAGATTCACTTGAACAAGGCACAACAAAAACTTCCATATCTCCAATCAATTCTGACTGAAAATTTGATACCAGATACAGGAGTAAAGGCAGGCTTGCTTGTATGCATGGTTTCTCCTCCTCTTATAAATTAGAGCGATGAAATGGAATCCACTTCAGGAGCAATGCCCTGACAAAAAAAAAAAAAACACAAACAAAACACAACAACAAAAAACCACACAAAAAAAAAAAAAAGAGAAAAAAAGAGGGGGGGGGAAGGACAAAAGAGGATGAGGAAATGACTAAACTGTCTACTGTGCAAGATTTCCAAACTGCTGTCACATCCAGCATCCTTGTAAGTAGGACTGATCTTCAGACCAATTACAACTGCAGTTGAAACTCATTTGCAACTGTTCTGCTTTCCAAACCAAGCTGTTTGACAGGCAGAGCTTCACAAATTAGGTCCATCAATCTACTAGACTTGCTGTACGCAAAGACTAAGCAAATGTGTTACAGATACTGCATCTGAAAGGGAAGCAATCTTTTAAGCACAACTTTTGAACACGTGCACTTGGTATAGGATGCAAAGTGCACTGTTATCTTCACAGCAGATTAAAAACTCTTAGCCTAACCAGTGTCAAATAGTCTGAGTTATCAGAATATTAAATTAATCCACAAATGAAAGTCAACCATCAAAATTAACCACTAAATTATTGCACTTACGAAAGCAACAAAAACTGGACCAAACAACTCCTTGAAGCAGCAACAAGATGGAAACGAGAAGTTAACAGACCACACATTCCTTTTACAGAATATTTGAGAACATCAGAAAGAGAGGGAAAAAAGCAAGTGTTTTAACATTACCATTATAAGAAGTACTTAGTCTTCAGCTGCTCTGCTTGATAGAACTCAAACAGGACTATATTAAAGGCACTCAGAAAAAAAAACTCTCAGAGGTTCTACTGAACCTAGCGCTGCAAGAAACCAGTCATTTTAAGTCTTAGAAAAAGTTCTGACCCTAAACCAAATGTTATTTCATTTTCCCATCACTATTAAAGAAGTATCCTAGAAACACTCAGCAGACTACTCAGGGTTTTTCCCACCGCCCCCAGGAGCATGGATTCTGCAGGCACAGGTAAGATTACACACCGACTCTGAGATTACATGTACAGAAAACAAACTTTTCTAACTCCTTAGAAAGTCCAGAGAAGTACAGAATTAATTGTTCCATAGCCTTCAAGCTCCTCTTTTATAAAAGCTCTGTCCTTTCAAAAAAATTACCACACACTAAAATTTGATATGCAATTCCAAATCAGTGCCAACAGCTTTAGATTTTAATTCATGTATTAGAACTATAACCTTTATTAAAAAAACTCTAAAAATTGATAAAGAAAAATAGCAGAACTACTTAAAGTAAGATAGGAAATGCATTCAGTCATCATTTCTTCTATCAAGTGTCTACACAGTTTGCTGTACCATCTTCTTAAGCAGTGCTTAGTCTACTGAGCAATACAAGATTACAAGACCGAACACAGAACAACAGATGCAAAACAGAGGTGGTTCCTCATCAAATCCATTTACATGCCACTTTATAGGTGGAACATAAAAGAAGGATTTCTCACTTTCCAAAGTCCTGAAGTCAAACACTGAAGCTATAATACAGCAAGAGGCACATCTCTTCTTCAAATTAGTGATAAAAGATCCTTACGCACTATCTGACAGAAACATGTTTCCTACGATCTTCCAAATAGTACTTCAGCACACACGTACAAGGATGAACACAACTCCCTTTCAGCATCTTGTAACAACTCCCAGAATCAGGAGAAACTGGAAAATTTCAACAGCTCTCTGATGCAAGCTAGGAATTCAAAAGAAATCCATTGGTCACATTCTCACTCCAGCTGCAAAATTATAAAACCAACTCAGAGTAAAGTACTACTCTAAGGTTGACAAGAGAAAAATTTTCCAAGTAACCATACATTATTACGAGTAAGACCTGAGCATAATGCCAGAGACTAACATATAAAGGAAAAAGAATTTCTGTTTTCTTTTGGTGTATTGTGGACTCAAAATTAGACCCATTAATAAAATCACTTTAAACATCTGCTCTGTCAAAAACAATAGTAATCAAACCTGAAATTCAGAGGTATCCATAATTACGAAGACAGTTTTCCAGACAACAGAATGTTCCTGCTTATTTGCCAATAAAATTAAACAGAAAAGGCTAATCTTCAAAATAAAAATATATTCTTAAAAGCCTCTAAGTCAATTAGTTATGAAACAATTTTGAATTTAGAAAAAGTAAGTTTTTTCTAATCTACTAACAGTGAAAGTACTAACTGGCTTAGGCGTTAGGATACGTGTAGAGTTCCATGTATCTGGATTTTGCCATACTTTGCCTGGTGTAAACCTGTTGAATTCCAGCTCTTAGGTCATCCCATATCTGGTCAAGACCGATCTGTTTAAGTCCATGCGGGTTCTGACTCCTATTCGATGACATTTTGTATTTCCTGTAAAGTCTTCCAGTGCAGCAGCCTGAGATCTGGTTATTCCTCCATCAGAATCACAAGTCAAGTAACATTCTAAACTCAGTTGCAGCAACGCAGTGAGATATTCTTTACATACAAAGAGTGATGTTTCCCAGGAAGATCATCTGCAAAAGGAAAAGAAAATACACACATTATGTGACAGTCCAAATTCATTCACACTAGAGAAAAAGATACAAAATTAATTATTTCATTGAAATATTTTCATTTACACAGATGAGAAATCCATGGTGAGGTCTGAAATACCAGAACCAAAGAACATAATTTTGCAATCCAGCAATCCACTACAAAATGTGATTGTTAGTGCCCACATCTGTCCAAAGCCTGTAGGTCAGTGCTGCTGACAAAAAAATCCTAATGCTACTAAGAAAATGTAATAGTAAAAATCTTTCCGAGCAGCAGACACTATCCTACTAAGAAGTGTTTCCTCTCTATACAGGGAGAAAAACTCCAGTAAAACTCCAGTATTTCCAAACAACTCAGGGTTCTGAGGTAACTCACTGTTTAACAAGCATCCTGATGGATATCCAAGATTAACCAGAAGATACTAAAAATAATTACTTTTCTTCGGTTATCAATAACTCTTCCAGACTTGAGATTCTATTACAGGTAACCTGAAAGTCTAAGATATTTTGGGAGCAGAGAATTTTTGTATCCAATAAATGCATGCTTACATTAATTTCTTTGTGAAATAAATGAACACCACTTCCTTCAATATCATCTTACCACGAAGAGAATATGCAGCCAATAACAGTGGGAAGAAAGAACTACTAATGGAGTGCACAAAATAAAGTTTGCGTGAATTGTAAATGAAAGAATAAGAAACTAAGAAAATGCACTACTCCCATAAGTGCTTAAGCACACAAAGTTTGGGAGGTAGTGAAAAGATGGTTATCATTCATCAGCCTTGTGAAATGACAGAGGAGGAAAACCAACAGTCACCTGGGAAGGACTACTGAGAATATCAAGCAGAGAAGATCCATTTTTACATAAGTGCTTAAAATATTTTGCAATTTTAACGTCTCATCCACCATAGCAACAAAATTAAGAAGATACCTGAAAATGACAAAGGAGGTAACACAATTTAAAAAATTAACCCACAAATAACAGAGTTATAGTAAGTCAGGACCAACTTACTCTTACTGCAGCCTTTCAATATGTAAAGGGGGCTCATAAGAAAGATGGAGAAAGACTTTTTACCAGGGACTGTAGTGACAGGACAAGGGGCAATGGTTTTAAACTGAGGGAGGGTAGATTTAGAATGGACATAAGAAGAAATGTTTTACGATGAGGGTGGCAAGACACTGGACCAGGTTGCCCAGAGAAGTTGTGGATGCCCCATCCCTGGAAGTGTTCAAGGTCAGGTTGGACGGTCTTTGAGCAACCTGATCTAGTTAAACATGTCCCTGCCCAAGGCAGCGGGGTTGGACAGGATGATCTTTAAAGGTCTGTTCCAGCCTAAACCATTCTGTGATTCTGTACCCTAGAGCCCATTCACTGAAATACTCAAAACACAGTGAAACACATGATGACTTTTTGCCATGCTTCCATAGACAAGAATACAGCTTTATGATAAACCTGTCCCGTAATGGAGACTGCTGGCCAAGGCTTATATGAACCCTTCCATAATTTCAAGGATAGTATAGGCCGAGATCTGATAAATCCTATTATTTGTTTTTGACCTTTGAGCAGCACAAAATAAAGATATTTCTTCAGGATCTATGGTATGTCATAAGTGCTTTGTCACAGCCACTTCTAGGCTGTTATATGTTCCACTCCATATTTCACACTATTTTAAAGATTAAGTATTCTGTTATACCCTCCCTGACCTCCCCTCCCCTCCCCCAAATTATTTGTAGGACTTCTCTTCTGCCTTATCTCCTTCACCCTAAAAAGATCGAGACATTTCTTCAGCTTTTTTAGTCAATGAATCTGTCTTACCACAGAAACACAGAAGTTACCACTCCTCATAGACCTTTACTATCCATCACCCACAAGCATTTGAATTTCAAGCTCTAAGTAAAAAACACTGAGAAGTATTTTCATTATGTCAATCTGAGCAACAAGTACTGTCTCATTTCAATCAGACATAAACTGCTTCTGTAGTTAATTTTTCTTTTTACATGAGCAACAATTCCTTAAAAGATTAGGTGGAAAACCAGGAATTCAATCAATATATATCTTACAAAACATACACTTAAAATTTAACCTTGCCATTCTGTTTCTATAATTACAGCAAACTGGTTATTAAAGACACATGGGAATAATGCATCATCATGCTGAAGTGTAATACAGATCATACCTTGTTTGTATTTCACTTCTTTAATTTCCGGAAATCGAACCTCCTGCAGTACTAATAATGACTGACTTCCACAACTGAGCAATGAAAGCCCAAAAGAACGAAGGTCCACGACTGGCCATTCGCCTCTACTGCGGGAAAGACTCTGAGCACATTACACACCCACAATCTTGGACTATGATCCTAAGTCAGCATTGCAATACAAAGCAAGAAAATTAATTCGATGTCTACAATCCAGGAGAGAGGAAACTTTTTGGTTCCTAAAATCGGGTACTATTTGAACTCTCCACACAAGCAAGAGAAGACATGGTTACAAATCTACAACTCTACTACAACCGCAGCGTGGGTAAAAAGTAACTGACCGTTACTCTCTTATTAATCTGCAAAAAAGCAAGCAGCTTAGAATTAGAGTGCATTTTAGTAAAAATATTTTGGCGTAACTTATACAAAATACTTCACGGCTGTATAAAAGTTCATAACAAAAGGCCAACCTCTTGCTAGCTAGCAGAAAGCGTAATAACCGTTACAATAGTTCACAACTCGGCCAAGGTCCCTTCCCAGGCAGCCTGCAGAGAGGAGCGACAGCCGGGGCTCTTACTCAGACATCTCTCCAGGTGCCGGGAAGAGGCAGCCACCCTTCCATTGCAAGCCTGCGGTCACCAGCTGCCCAGCAGAGGTGGAGTTTCCCCCTCTATGATAATGGAAATATTTAACTTTTTTCTCTAATTAAGCATCTCCTAGTTTTTATGTACCCTGGTGCATCTACAAATACTACCTTTTCCCACAATCTTTTAAACTCAAGGTGTTCCTCATTCACACTGTACTAATTTTCCCTCTCCTCCCCCTAAAGTAACCCTCTGTATTTAAGTCAGGATGTAGCCATTAAAAACAATGCCATGAGAAAGAACTTGATTTTTGTTTTCTCATGCAGTCCACTATGTAGAAATATCTTTTCTTTATAAGCAATAAATTCCACTACATTTGATAACATTACCTCACTATCCCTTGGTGGCTTCCAATTTGAATTTCACAATTAAAGACACGAATACAGAATGATAGCATCACATCACTAACTTCCTAGACTCAAATAATTTACTTCTTCCAGTCAGTTACTAGTTAACACAGTAGGGAAACAAAGCAATAGATGAATAATTCTATAAACTACTACTAATTTTTTGCAGATTGATTCATGTGCAGAAAAATGGAAAGGTAATTATTAATATATCACCTTAACAGGAATAAATTTTCACTACATAAGAATACTCTAATTACAAAAGCATATTTATAAACGCAGTCATTTGTACTTAGTGGTTAAATTAAGCTATGGTGTTACATGTATAGAGAGGAAGAATAAAACAAGGCTTTGTTACTTGGCACATTTATTATACACAAACACCCAGTGAAAATATGAAGTCCTATTTTTCATGTGAAAAGTGTAAGTGTAGTTTTCAAAATTATTTTTGTGATTGACGGACAGAAAACATTCCCTAGGCAAACAATTCTGGAAGGTCAAATCTGGTCCATAATAGTTACACTGCATCTCTTTACCCAAGGTCCCAATTGCTAAACTTACAAAGAAGGAGAAGAGAGAGTTCAGAAGTCTACCATTTCTCAGTGCCCGGGTTGTGCGCAACTGCCAAGAGCAAGGTGCCCTCCCAAGAACCACGAATTGCTACAGGTGAATTAAAACCTCAACATTAAGTCACAACCTTTACTTCAGTGAGATCTCCCACCTTCCGAAGTGCTGTTGGCAGGACTTGAACTGACCATCACCGTGCTTTCTCACTCAAACAGATCAAACTTACTGGTGACCTGCTTCATGGACAGGACCACCTGCCCCAGTTGCAACACCTGCTCTGTAGCTGTGGACCAGAGAACCTAGACTTCATTATATCTTCAGGACCAGCTATATTTACATTAAAAAAATTACCCCTGCAGTTTCCAGCTGATATACACACAATTTGATGCAGCAGTATTACAGTGTTCAATACCATCCTATCTTTCAACCCTGCATTCAAGCACTGCAATTAAAACACTGTCAAACAAAACTGTCATTTCTGCCCATGCCAGTTGTTAAAAGGAGGTAGTAATTCTGCCAAAACTTTAGAACAACAGCCTTGAAGGACAGAGGGAAATGCTATTCCCTCCTTTTCATTACTGGGGGGGGACACGACATGACACACCTCATATGCAAGGAAACGCATCGCATTGGAAAACTGTTTTTGTTTTTACTGATCGTCTAATAATAAATGGTATTTCTTTTAGATATCCCATCTGAGGAAAATGATGTGTATGCCGAATGAGGCCTATAAGAAAATATGAAAGTTAACCCTGTTTTTATCTAAAAAATGTAATAAAACCCACCGGATTTAGAGCATCTCAAGCCATCTGCTGCAGTGACTACCTCATTTTTATATCCTATTATAACATAACTTTCAGCTTCATAGCTCCAAGACCTATGCATCACCCATTGTTCTCCCACAACCACTTATTTCTAAGCTACAGATTTCAAGATAGCTTACTTCAATAATTACAGATAGAATGTGAAGTTGTCAGCTTCTTGGCCCAGTAAGAACTCATAGGTCCAGAGCAAGGTTTTCCAGCTGACCCAGGAGGCCAGACAGCATTTTTTTAAAGACATAGTAGAAAGGCACAGGACCTAGACTTAGTAATTTCCAAGTATTTTATCCCTTGTCTAATTTCAAACATGAGAAGAACATTCTTGTCACGCCTAACAGTGTGAGCTAAGGTGACCAGATTTAATCATACTAAAACCAAACACATTACGGAAGAGAAGCAAGTTTCACTAATAA